ATAGATAGCTCGGAAGGGCAGTGGCCGCCACACTGCAAGTTCGGACCAGCTTCAACACGAACTCCGGATACCATCGTAGTAGGTCCGCCAACGTCGCTAGGGGCCAACTCCCATTGCGCAATACCAACAGCAGCAGGTGCAAAAAAAGGGGGGGGGCATCATAAGGGGAACAAGGTTACAAGTGTCAGTCTAGAGAGGAGAAGAAGAGGGAGAAAAAAAACGAAATCAAACACCAATAAAAAAAAGATTCCAAGCCTAACTTGAACATTAGCACGATAACTATATCTTGATTTTGTTTTTTGTTTCTCAAGCGAGATGACAAGTAGACAATTCCAGCCTTATTCGTACATCCAAAGGATTCAAGTTTACAGAAAGCGAGGTCATGTAATGTGGGCATCAGCCGGACTACGCTTGAGAATGGGCCTTATATGCTCCTGAAGGACGAAGTTCGCTTCCACCTAACTGATGTTAACTGTATCTGTTATAAGCACATGTAACGGTTGCTGAGCAGTTAATCACCCTTCTTGCCCAGACCTCGGAACTGAGTCCTGTTCATCTGAGCTGACGGTCTTATCGCTTCAGACGCGCTCAGTTACCACCAGCTTTGCTTCCGTGAATGAAAACGCTGACATCAGCAACCTGATTCGATCTTGGTTCCCATTTCGACCGCTTCTAGGCCTCTAGAGGAGCATTCCACGCTCGCAGCATGGGCGTGGCCACCTACCCTAATCCTCTTCTCTCCATAGTTCTGCAAGGACTGTTGAACCAATAACAAGCACAGCGGTAGACCCTGCTGCGTCCATACTATGGGCGCTGAATGTGTCTCACGTAGAACCAGAATGCGTACTACAGTTGTTATCACTGAAGTCAGACGGGTGTTCTAGCGGGTTTGGCGCAGCGCTAGCATCCTTTACCATCACTCATCGAAAGCTCGGAGCCTGAATGATCGATGGGGGAAGGGCAAACACGTCGCTAACACCTTTCGGCCGCTGGCACGCCCCGACTGACATCAGTGAAAACGACTTATCCTAGTGAAGTGATTGGCATCCACTCTCCGCTAGTCCTCGCTTTTCAAGATCCAAGCTACTCTTGAATCAATAAGTCGTCGGAAAGGGGGGGGGGGGATTATGTCAAAACTTCGCCTGAAGTGATGATGCAGCGATTATAAGGCTCTACTTAGCTCTAGTTTCACAATTTTGTAAAAATTTTCTGTCGATTATAGACGCCTTCCGGATCGTTCGGCATGGAAGAACGAACGAATGGAGCAGCTGAAACGATGGCAAACGATTCCATCCCTCACCTACACGACCTTCTCCCTTGATGACGACATTAAGGTAGCCCCTTTGCAGTGCGCTTGAACATTCGAATTTTTCAAACTGGCTAGTAATTCATATCAATAGAGAAATGAGTGTTGGAGCAGGTGTTAGGGGATGGCGGAGGCAAGGAAGGCTGGAGGGCAGCAGAGGACAGTATGAAAACTATGTTGCGCCGTGCCGGTTTGCGGCTGCGCCCCTCTCAGACTATTGCTGTTGGAAGGCATCTAGCGAAAAGCGTTTCGTTGAAACGATGCAGAGCAGAAAACCGCTGCGGCTCAGAATCACTGCTGCCCCCCCCCCTCCTTTTAACCTATCTTAGCACTGGCCTTGCGGGGATGAAGGGTTGGGCACTCGGCCACGCCTCTGTGTCCATTTCCCTAGCCCAGGCGTAAACCCAGAACGTACAGTCTTGTTCACTGCAGGCGCCGAGACGTTCTTGTAGGACTTGGTTCGGGCAGCGCCAGCATGTTCTCCACCTATTGCAGTCGCCTGCCAGCTTCTACTCTTGGTGGAGAACAGCTTGGCAAACCAGCCCCCCCCCTCAAATGCTGAGCGTCCTCACTGGAGAGAGCTAAACGGACAGAACCACCGGGAGAGTGCTGAGCCTCGCTGAGCGCATAGCCTCCTCTGAATCCAAACCTTAGTTTTGGCCAGGGACGCAAAAAAGCTACCGACTTCCCCCCCCCTCTCCTCCCAATTCGTGTCCGAAGTCTTGATCCTTTCCCCACGCCAGACTAGAAATGTTGGAGTACATAATCTTCATTTAAGCATATAATGGACTCGTTTTTCAATGGAATGGTGCATCTTGCTTTCGGAGATACCAGCGAACGCGCAGTCCCGAATAAAGCCCCGGTGAGTTCTGAGGAAATTTGGCTGTACAATGAGCTGTTGTGCTTTCAGTTCTCAGATATTGCGTTCAGGTACTTCATTGGACTCCGGTCCCTCTCGACATGGAAGTGCAACTGCTTCTTCGACTCACTTTCCCACTAGCCGCACCTGATCAGAGCACATTTGTCGAGATGTGCCGGTCAGTAGGCTCTCAATTCACGTCCACTTACGAGTGGAGGGATGGAGTACTGCTGACCACGGATCCGGTAAGTGCTGCAGTGCATTCCCTACTCGAATTTATGGCGTTCATCCAAGTATTCAGTAGGCTGAGCAAAGCCTTGATTATAAGTGTGAGTGGTCCCGCAGAAGTCAAAGGTTTAGTCCATTTGGGAGGCACAAGATCCCTTCCATAGCAAGATATCCAGTCCTCAGGTCTAGAGGTTGAGCCGCTTTTGCCCCATGTGGACGAAACTCGTGGAAAGGACGCCAGCAGCTTGCACATTTGGACCATCCACCCCCGGGGTCAATATAAGTTCGCCCTTGTCACCTGATCTCTCCCCCTTACGTTCACTGTTTCTTCGATGTCTTTTCTCTTGCATTACTGACCATTAACTGCAAGAATGAGGGTTCGTTCGAGGGCACTTGCGGCTTTTTAAGGCATTTTTTCTTCGGTAGCAGGCAAAACTGCGCTGCCAGAGTTACGTTACTACCACCTGCTTCTTCTAACGACTCACCTGCACCGATGGATTGTCCCTTTGAAGGCCCTGTGGAGGATTCCTTATCGGGTCCACAATCATACTTTTCATGCCACTCTCATTACCATACCCTTTCACTTGGAGCGTGTTCGTACTTCGCGTTCCGATCGCTTGAATCGCACAGTGGTCGCTTGA